TCCAAGAGTTGTCATGATTGAAATATATATATATATATATATATATATATATATTACTTGTCAAAAGTTTGGAAACATTACGACTTTTAAATGTTTTCAATGAAGTCTCTTCTGTTCACCAAGACAGCATTTATGTGGTCAGAAATACAGTAAAAACAGTAATATTGTGAAACAGTATTACAGTTGAACATAACTGTTTTCTATTTTAATATATTTTGAAATGTAATCGATTCCTGTGATGCAAAGGTGATTTTTTTAGCAGTCATTACTCCAGCCTTCAGCATCACATGATCCTTCAGAAATCATTCAAATATGTTGATTACTTGATTTGCTGCTCAAGTAACGTTTCTTATGATTATCAATGTTGAAAACAGTTGTGCTACTTAATATTTATGGAGAAACCATGATATACTACCATTCAAATGTTTGGGGTATGTGTGTGTGTGTGTGTTTAATAGAAATTATTGCTTTTATTCAGCAAATATGATTCGAATTGATCAAAAGTGACAGTAAAACATTTATTATGTTACCTAAGATTCTATTTCAAATAAATGCTGTTATTTTGAACATTCTATTCATCAAAGAATCCAGAAAATGTTTCCGCAAAATATTAAGCAGCAAAAACTGTTTTAACATTGACAATAATGAGAACCATTAGTAACAGTTGAGCACCAATAATAATTGAGCAGCAAATCAAATCAAGCATCAATTAAACATCTACCTTATTAATCAAATATTTGTAATCTTGCTTGCAATTTTTTTAACCCAAATACATGTCTCTTGTTCAATAGCAGTCAATGGAGAAACATGTTTTTGCCTACATAACGGTGAAATTATGGCATTTGCCAGCACTCATTTTTTCCCTTGTTCTCTTATTCTCTGTGATCTACTCTCACCTGTGGCCTCCACCATTCCTTCCAGAATGACCACTATTTCAAACTCTTCTCGTGCCAGTTGCTCCTGAGAGATGTCCCAGAAGGGGCTGTTCTTGTTGATCTCATGGCAAATGATCAGCGGTGACACCAGGAACAGCCGATCGTTCCCCGTGTCAAAGCCCACGTTGATGTCCGTCTGGTTTAGGGGGATGAACTCTCCTTCCTTGGTCTGCTTAGAGCGGATGAGCTTGGCCCTGATGGAGGCCTCCACTATGTGTGAGTTACGCAAGTCCCCGACGCGAAACATCAAACACAACTTGCTGTCCCGCATGGATATCACAGCTGTGTTGGAAAACATGAGTGTTTCAGCACGTTTCTTTGGCTGTGAGATTTTCACAAACATGCATCCCACCATGAAGGCATTGACGATGGAGCCCAAGATGGCCTGCACCAGAAGCAAGATGATGCCCTCGGGGCATTTGTCCGTTATGACGCGGTACCCATAACCAATGGTGGTCTCAGTCTCGATGGAAAAAAGGAACGCCGAGACGAAGCCATTGAGGTTATTCACACACGGCGTCCACTCGTTGTCATCAGTGTGGTCCAGGTCTCCACGGGTGTAGGCGATGAGCCACCAGATGAAGCCAAAAAACACCCAGGTGGTGGTGTAGACCAGCGTGAAGACCAGCAGATTGAAGCGCCACTTCAAGTCTACGAGTGTGGTGAAGATGTCTGTCAGGTAACGGTAGGTTTCACGCACGTTTCCATGGTGGACGTTGCACTTGCCGTCCTTTTCCACATAGCGCTGACGCAGTTTTCTCAACGGACCTCCAGTGGGATCGGAAGCGTCTCCTCCTCCCAGAACTCCCCTGACAACCATCGTACGGTCTGTGGGGATCTACCGGCAAGAATGGAAAAAGCAGTAAGAAAAGAAATAAGTTTGGCTAAAAGAAAAGATTAAACAATAGCAGTTAACATTAGACTCCATCAAGATATGGTAAACAAAACTTCAACATCAAACTTCAAAAAAATTAATATCAGTGTTGGAGAGTAACTAAACGTAGTGACGCTACTGTTTTGGTATCATCTATTGTTGTTTTCAAAATTTTTCAGTAACAACTTTTCCAACATCTTTGTGAGCTGAAGCAATAATCAAACACTTTTCTAACACTAAATGTATATTGCTAGGTTTGCCAGTAAATACATTTATAATGTTACAAATGATTTCTATTTTAAATAAATGCTGTTTTTTTTAACTTTCTATTCATCAAAGAATCCTAGAAAAAAATGACGGTTTCCACAAAAATATTAAGTAGCACAACTGCTTTCAACATTAATGGTAATAAGAAATCTTTTTATGAGTACCAAATCAACATATTAGAATGATTTCTGAAGGATCATTGTGACGAGTGGGGGCGGGGCCGAGAGCCGTGGGAACGGAGCGAGGCCGGTGGAGTAATTGATAATGAGCGACACCTGCACCACTCACTGGTCTCGAGTCTCACGGAGGAGCTCCGGAAGGATAAAAGGGAGGAGTGACGACCGTGTTGGACGAGGGAGGACCAGGCCTGGACTTTATTTTGTGTTTTGGTTTTGTCTGTGCGCGACAGTCGTCCGCGAGGGGCTGTCGCGCTATTTTGTGTTTGTTTATTTTATTAAAGTTTTCTTTAAATGTTCGCCGGTTCCCGCCTCCTTCTTCCCGACCTACGAACGTTGTTACAATCATGTGACACAGGAATAAATGACACTTTAAAATATATTAAAATAGAAAACTGTTATTTCAAACAGTAATAATATTTCACAGTATTGCTGTTTTTACTTTATTTTTATTTCAAATAAATGCAGTTACCTTGGTGAGCATAAGACTTCTTTCAAAATCTTACTGACCCCAAACTTTTCAGTGTAGTTAGCTACTTTTTGTTATTGGTTAGCTTGACTGTAGCTAAACTACTGTAAACTACGAATAGTTGCTTAGCAAGTTAGTCACAAAATAGTTTCCCGAACATTCATACATGTAATAAAAAAGCATAAAAGAAGAGTAAATAAGAAACTAAACTCACTTTTTCATTGGGATCAGTCCATTTTTTTGGCAGCTTGATGCCTTGTTTTTCCACATCCTGGCCCTTAAAACTACTCATGGCCCGGAAGCCGCAGGCGTAGTCTCTGATCCAACACAGTAGCTGGAGCTCTCCAACTATTCGAAGAAAACACATGAAAGCTAGTAGGTGAAACTCATAATGAAGAGCAAAGACTGGAGTAATTTACCACAAACAGTGAGATAAATGTGCCTGCAAGCGGTCTTAATTAAAATCAGAGTGTTAAATTATGTTGCTCTACAGTGTTTGCTTACCTACACACCACATTTACACAATTAGTCCCTGAATCTGCTTCACAAATCAGTGCAGTGAATACAGCACTGAATACATTAACAGTTAAAATGCAAGTGTCATCACTAAAAAAGTTTGTTTTCACCAAGTCAGATATTTGTGGGAGAATTCACAGAAACTGGAATTAATGCATTCAAACCTGAGAAACATGATTTTATTGGTTTGCAATATTTGCCAAATAAACCACAAGCCTTTGACCTAAAATGTTAATCACACATTTTACTTCAAAAGCTACACATTCCCTAGTATATTTATTTATATTTATATAATAAAATAAATATACAATTGATATTTTATTTACATTTATATATTTTATATAAAAGACCAGCACACACAAAAAATCACTCAGAAATGCTAATAAATTTCACAAATAATTACAAAGAAACCATAAGTAGCACATTGAACATTATATGTGAAATTTTAAAGTATAAAGACTGAAATTGTATTTTCTTGTAAAATATGCTCCAGTAATCTGTTTTATTTAAAACTTAAAAAAAAGAAATTGCACTTTATATGGTATACTTCACCCCAAAATTTAAATTGTCATCATTTACTAACCCTCCAATTGTTCCAAACCTGTATGAGTTTCTTTCTTTTGTTGAACACTAAAGAAGGTATTTTGAAGAATGTTGGTAACCAAATAGTTGACTTCCATAGCATTTCTTCCATACTATAGAAGTCAATGGCTACTGCCAACATCATCTTTTGTGCTCAACAGAAGAATGAAATTCATACAGGTTTGTAACAATTTGAAATTGAGTATATGATGACAGAATTTCATTTTTGGGTGAACTATCCTTTTAACAAGCTTAACTAGCCATGCTAGTTAACCTTTATTATCTGTTGGTATTAAACAGCACGGCTATGCTGGTCCATCAGCCAAGACCAGGACTAAACCAGCAGTCTTTTCAGTAGGTTTTTACTATGAGTATTTTGCATACAAAAATCATCACAAACAATGACTTAATAGTCTACATTTATTTAAAAAAAAAAGCTGCAAAACCCTGCAAATGATTGAGCCTCATCTCCTTACACATACGTAAAACGCTTTATTTCCACATTATTGATCATGTTCACTGAATGTTGAATTCCACATCTGTTTCTACATGTTAGCCATTAGCTCAAGTCCCCAAAGGCATTGTGTCTCTCCCTCTCTGCCCAAGCATCACCCAACAGCACCGACAGCAGGTGCGGGTGAGTACCAGTAGGTTTTTTTCATAACACACATGTGGAAGCAATATTAATGATGGCAGGCTTCATGGGGAACATGGAGCAAGGCAGTCTGAGGCAGATGGGGGCAGACGGCACCCACTAGGAGATCTGATAAGACATGGTCCAGAGAGAGAGAAAGTGAGAGATGATAGAGGGAGAGAAAGAGACAGAATGAGAAAGTGACAGATAACAACACAAACGCAGATAAACTAAAGCTACATAAAATGATATACTGTACGAACTGATGAATTATTTATACAGTGCTGATATCTGGACTTGTTTGTTTTGCCATTATTTTTGCTTGACAGATTTGCTGTGCAAGATTAGAAGGGTGTGCAACAAAAATCTTTAGGAGATCTTCTCAAAGTTGTACTAGCAGGAGAGAATGGTAACTTTGGTCATTAGCCTCTGCCATATAATTGGATAAGTGCCACGGGCAGACACTAGAGATGGCCACACTGCAGAGACAGCAGCGATGCTTCCTGCTTTCATGTCTGTAGTTTATCCTCAGGTCCAAACAAAGCTCTGCAGATTTCCTCAGAATCAGAATGTCTTGCATATTCACTGATAAATATTTTGGCTAATTTGATAATGCTTTCATCTACTGAGAATGCAGTATTTTCCCTCCAAACCAGTGCATGAAAAACTTCATCTGGTTTGATCAAATCAGGATCCCAGGAGGCTTGATCAACCAGGACGCTGTCATCTCTGACCCAGACACATTTCACAGTCAAACACCCTGCAGCTCGGCCACAACTGTGCCACTGTCACTCTGCCTGAACTGTTGAGTCATCACAAACCAAAACACTGGATAGCACCAGGGGTCAGTGTAAAATGTCACCAACTGGAGTGAGCAGCAGGAGAGCACTCTTGCTCCTCTGTGCCTCTCACTGAGATGGAGAAGAGCACACAACCACGACAAGCCACGAGGGACTGAAGCACTTTACCTCTTTTTAATCATGCTTTCATTATCTCCTAAATCTCTATTGAGCTCTAAAATTCTATTTAATGTCAATATAATTTTTTTTTTCATTTTCACATTTTCTTAACAACATTTTCTTAAGAAAATGAAAGTTGTGCCAATGCTTTGAATTTTTTTCTGAAACAAGGACAATTCCAAAATAAATTAATAAAATAAAATAAAAGTAATTCCACATCTCAAATTATATATTGTGTTTAGTAACATTCACAGCTAGAATTTTATACATTAAAAATATGAATAATCTTTTTGCATAATTTGACAAATTAGAAATAATGCACATAGAATAATAAAAATATTCTATGATATTCTGAAATTTACCTTGATTTTGTCTCATATCTCATCTCATGTCTAATATAATTTTACTAACTTTTGAAAAAAAAACCAAAAAAAAAACAATAGGGCAAAAAATTGTTGCAGTGGAAATGATACCAGACACCGCAGCAATGGGGTAAACGTTATTTAAAAAAAATTTTTTAACATAATTTTCACACAATAAATATTTGAATGGTATGCTTAATTCTTTGTTCTGATTATTTTAAAACAATATATAATAATGAGTTATCTATTGTTTTTTTATTATTATTATTTGTATTTATTTCCTATGATGAATTTTCATAGTATAAAAAAAGCAAAAATAAATTATACACATGGTAAAAAGTTTCCAAGATCTTTAAGAAAGGATCAAAGGTGACAGATATTTTTATTTCAAATAAACACTGTTCTTTTGAACTTTCTACTCATTAAAGAATCATGAAAAAATGTATCACAATTTCCACAAAAATATTAAGCACAACCATTTTCAACATTGATAATAATAAGAAATGTTTCTTAAGCAGCATATTAGAATGATTTCTGAAGGATCATGTGACACTGAAGACTGGAGTAATGAAGCTGAAAATTCAGCTTTGCATCACAGGAATAATTCTTTGTTTTGATTATCTTTTTTAATAATATATAATTATTCATTATAAATATTTTATTATTATTTATATTCATATTCATGATGGATTTTTATAATATATGACTGGGATGTCTGGGTCTGGGTCAAGATTAAAACCATAAAATACATACATAAAATGCATTCAGAAAAACAGAAGAAAAAAAAACAACGACAAAAATTCTAATCATGGTAAAAAGTGTTCTTCATTCAACAAAAATAAAAAAATAAAACACAAAATCCATTGGTTTTAATAAAAATCAACCCCATGGACATTAAATTGTAGCAAGCACCACTAATTAGATATCTCTTTATGCGAGGTCACCTTTAAAGGAAGACTATCAGAGAGATGGCATATAACTTCGGCGCCAAACATGACTGTTATTTCAGTTGGCCTTCTATTAGCTAAATGCTGGACTCCAGACAACACTGTGACAGAGATAGAGAAGACATAAAAACGACTATAATGCTGAAATGCATTAGACAGTGCTCAAGAAAAGAGCCACTGAGATTGCTTAGACTGATCTTCATCACAGGCTCTGACCTTCACGCAACCTTTGGTTTAAATGTGAAATGTCTTACTTCGCTTGCTTTATGATCTACAATCAGTGGTGAGAAAAGCCTCTGACTACCTCAAGGGCAAAAACAGGCTTTTCTATTGCAGACCCATCCAGCAGTGGGGAACTGGAGAGCGCTGACACAGAACACGAACTCACCGCTCCCACGATTTGCATAATTACCTTTTCAACAATTTTTACATAATCCCTCTGTTTCACAGATAGACCGGATCATCATCGCCTTGAGTTCACCTTTTAGCTGTGGTCTAATCGCATCATGGATGTCCTGTGTGTATTCAAATATTTGACTGCACTACACTCTACATGCATCCACCGATGTCACTCTTCAACCTTTGCTAATGCTGACATAAGCAAAGGTCTGATGCTCTGGAAGCTTGTCTGGTCATTAAATTGGATTTAATAAGCTTTGATATGTCACACCACTGAACCCTGCACCTCACAGGCGGGAGACTCTAATGGATGCCGATAACAGTTTGCACAGATTTTCAGAGTAGCACAACATGCATCAGAGTTGATGCCTTGTTTAATTTGATAAGAATCAAAACAGCACTGCGAGGGACAAACAGTCTGTTCAATATGTCACATATTCTGATGTTCATCCTTGAACCAAACAACTCTGAAAAACATGGATTATCAAAATTAGATGATTAAAAATGTTGAATTCTTCAAAGTGCATGTCGCTGTTTGAGCATCTATCAACACAGTAAAATGAACTCAACCAATGGTGTGCATTTGAGGGCGGAACTAACTGTTTGTCTGACCTATGACAGAAAGGGCCATGTTTAGGGAAACTGGAATGAAAATGAAATTACACACTTCATCTCTAAGACAGTACAACCTACCAAATTTTTAGCTTAATTTTTATTCCCAACAAATTAAATGTGGCATCAACCTTGAGTAAGGTCCATGGATATGCTGTTTTTTTATTTATTTAGCAGAACAAAATATATATTATGATGATGATATATTATATGGTGATGTTATCATATAGTCTGGGGTCAAACCTTTTTTTTCCCCAAGAAATCAATATCTTTATTTAGCAAGAACACATTAAATTGATCAAAAGAGACGCTAAAGACATTTATACATTACAAGCAATTTCTATTTCAAATAAATGCTGTTCTTTGAACTTTCTATTCATCAAAGAATCCTGAAAAAAAAATGCATTACGGTTTCCACAAAAATATTAAACGGCACAACTGTTTCCAACATTGATAGTAATGAGAAATGTTTCTTGAGCAACAAATCATCATACTAGAATGATTTCTGAAGGATCATGTGACACTGAACAGTGAAGTAATGATGCTGAATGATGCATCACTGGAATAAATTACATTGTAAAGCATATTAAACAAGTTATTTTAAACTGTAATAATATTTCCCAACAATACTGTTTACTGTATTTTTGCTCAAATAAATATAACTTTGATGAGCATAAGACTTCAAAAATATTAAAAAACCCTACCAACCTAAAATTTTGAACGGTATACTGTATATCCTATATAATATCTACAAACAGCAAAAATCTAAATAACAAACTGTACTTACACTCAGTATGACAAGAACTGGAAGAATGGTGAAAAAGCAGGAGGGAAAATTTCCATCATGTAGGCTGTCAGAATTAGATGGCCTCTCATTATGCACTTGTGTATTTACAAAACCCTTTTATCAGCAACGGAGGGCATCTTCATCTCAAGCGATAAAATGATTGGCTCGTGTCTGGCAGCCGTCTATTCTCTGTGCAAAACAACAGATACACACAGGCGAGTGGAAAGGAGAGAGCCATCCAACATGGGCCAAAAATAGACCTGCATTTCCAAGGCTTTTGGTTCAGTGATGCTACTCCATTATGGTGCTCGTGTAGAGCAGGTAAGGGTTTGGACATCATAGTTTCATAGATATCACCACATGTATCTTTCAATAAACGAGAAGAAAGACTTTTTTTTTTTGTCCAAATAATGGAACTCAATTGGAACCAAAACTGGTCACCACCATTCTTCAAAATATCTTCTATTGTGTTCAGCAGAAGAAAGAAAGTCAAGCAGGTTTGGAAAGACACGAGGATGAGTAAATAATGACAATATTTTCATTTTTAGGTCAACTATTCATTTAAACTGTTATTTTCCCACATGGATCTGGCACTCTATTTGAAAAAGTTTGAGTCTTAGGTTTCCCTTGAGAAAGGGGCCGTCCTTTGGGAAAATCGAGTGTCCTGTTTCATTTTGAGTTTAATTACAGCCTTAGGTTACATCCTATGTCTCCATTTTGTTTCAAATGGGAAAAAAGTGTGCTTAAGGGGACCTGAACCAGGCCTTTCCATTTCCTCATTAATCTATAGAGCCAGAAGGTAATCCATTACATTTATGAAGCACTATAGGTCTCTTTTAGCCCGAGGTGCAATCATTACCTTAAAGAATGATGCTTGTCTCCATACAAATGGTAATTAACTAGGACTATGATGGGATGTAAACACATATATTGCTCATTAATTCTTTGACAACTTCCATTTACCAGTTTATGGCAGATGCATGGGTGCAATTTTGAACGTATTACTAAATAAGGATAAACAAATTTGTGTCATGAATTCTACAGCTAACACTATTATATTAGAGAAAATAACGACTTTAATTTTGAATCTTCCACCTCATAAAACACCCAACAGTCCCATTGTTCTTCCCAACCACAGTTCACACTAAGAGTGTAACCATGTTTCACTTAAGTTCACAGCTGCCTGGGGGTTTGGGCTTCATCATAATAGATTGTAAGCAGTGATCTCCATAAGTGAGAGACTCCACGCACGCCAGACGAAATGGGCAGCATGTATCACCCCGAGTCGACCTTGACACAGGCAAGAAAACAATCACCAACGTGCGCCGGGATGCAGAGGCAAACAAAAGCTACACTGCTTGAGCCAATATCTCCACTGCTGATATCAATGATGCTGATGGCTATATGTGGGGAAAGGGGCAAAGTATCACAGCTTTCCCTGAGTAAATCCATTACCCTGATTTCTGAGAGAAAACTACTGCAACTACCGAGTTACGTAATTTACTTCAATGCAAATATGCATTTATGAACCTCACTGTATTACGGAGACAATCTCTGCTGAGTTTCACATATGATGTAAGTCCTTGTTATAGTATGTGATTGTCTCCCAAGTGCTGCATACAATCATAATGCTGTGCATCACTGCGTTTAAAAAGGAAAACGTGTGGGAAAGAACTTTGGTTCCTGTGGAAAAAAATGCTGAACAAGTGAACAAAGCCAAGAGATCAGGATCATTTACAAGTGTTACTTTATGATCAGAGAGAAAGTGCAAAGTTATTTATGCTAATATGTGGTATAAAAACCACATGAAGGATTTGCATCAATGACATAGTTCAAAATAAAAATTCTATCATAATTTACTCACTTTTATAGTGCTCCAAACCTGTATGACTTACTTTATTCAGGGAAACACAAGAAGATGACAGTCAATAGGGTCCAAAACAACCCAACTGAACCCCACTGACTTTTAGTATATGGACAAAAACAAATACAAAAACACAAAAGTCATGACACGAAATGACACGAGAGTAAATGATAACATAATTTAAATTTTTGGCTCAACTATTTCTTAAAACAATGCATTCCTTTCTCTTTTTTGATAAGACATTTCTCAACTAATAAAAAAATGATGCCGCTGAGACTGAAATCTCTCTCAAACTAACCCTATAATAACATTGAATAACTGTACTTGTCTTTGGTAGTCATTTGATCATTTCTAAGTTCTAAGATAATATCCCAATCTAAATCCACTTTATATTTCTATATGTATATGCATATGTCAGATTAACTCTTTCAGTATACATTAGCTATGTGTCTGTTTATATATGTAGCACCATGGTCCCTTGTGGCATGACATTTCGTTCCTTTGTATGTCTCCATATACAGCGGAATGACAACAAAGCTCACTTGAATTTTAAAGTCAGATAAACGTAGATATAAGCATTCCCATGCACCAAAATACCATCCAAGCATCCTAATACACAAATGATTTAGGAACAGACCTTATAGTGGCTGGATATTGTTCACCTTTGAAATAACGTTCGCCCTGCCATCAAAACATATGCCACTGTACTGAAAAAAATACTAAATTTGACTGTAGGTCTGGTGAGACTATGCCTTTTTAAAAACATTAATATGAATAACAGGGTGTGATGAGCTCACAGTGCCTGAGGCTCGCTCCGTGTCAGTTCTAGAACGATGATTTATTCAATAGCCTTCTAGAAGCGTGAGCGACAAACGGCCAGCTCCTGTACTCCCATGAAAACCATGCTCAGGTTTGTCTGAATTAATCATTCATGCATGTCAATTATTTAGGCATGCATGTTATTCGGACAGCGAAAGCCTCAGCATTTTTCAAAAGACAGCTGTAAACCACATGTACTGGTAAGGAAAAAACACAATGAATAAAAATGCAATTTAAGTGAGATTTTGTAACCACAATGAATAGATAAGCACTTTATATAATATACAAATGACTGAAATATAATGTAGAACGAGATGGATAATAATAACAGGGGAAATTGGGGTGAGGAATCAAAGGTCAAGGTTTAGCTCGTTAGCACTGGCCCCATTAACCCCTTCTGGAAGATGCTGTAATTACACCATCTTTCTCCATTAACGGTCATTCAAAAATATACGTGTATTCTGACAACATTTAAATTGTGCAACGTTTAAAAAAAAAACTTTAATACTGAAATTTTTTTAAAATATATAATTATATCAGATGGTAGATATATGTCACAGGTGCCTGATTGTTTTAGGAGGCACTAAAAAGTATGAAATTGACATAATTTTCTCTGTCTTAAACGTTATAGTTCAGGATAGTCATTAGTGAAGGGTTTGGGACTGTGCATTTTCTTGTAGTGTCATCAGCCAATAAGTGCTGTGATGATGATATAATTTTCATGCTGTAAAAAGGAAAACTGGCAGCATAACTGAGCACCCATGAGCAAAGATGGGATCCTCTGCCAGCTGTGGTGGAAGGGAAGTGCCATTGAAATAAATGGATACACTAATGGCTATTCAGGCAGTTATCAGTTCAGCCAATCAAAAATGAGCCACAGGGGTGAAATCACTACCATACACTATCACTACCCTCCTGAGGTGACAATGTGTACAAAAATTCACAATACAAAAACCAATTTGAATGTATACAATTTCAATTCATAAATTGATTTAAGACCATATTAATCAGTGTCAGATGGCATAACTGGTCTCATCTGAATCAGCAGGTTCTTGCGTTCAATTTGATACATAACACCTAACCACATTTTTTTCATTTACATGTTAAAAGCTAAACAGACCAAGGAGGGTTGTAACACTTTCCAAATACTTCTTCTAGACCCACAAAAATAGCACAGCGTATCCATTTGCCACACACAATGCTGTTTTAGATTTGTTAGCATACTATATCTATTTGTTCTATATTGGCATCCAAACTTTATTTGCTAACTGGATTAAAATGTTTCCCTTTCATTTATTTTTACAAATCAAAATAGTTCAAATGAAATTAGGGTGGTGGAGTGGTAATAAGTACATTTGAACAACAAAATAATCACGAAGAAAGTAAAATAGTCGACAGAAATAAAGCGAAATACTCACTTTTGTAGTTCAAGTTAGTTCCTTGCTTCGGTTCCCAGTGGCTCTCCAATCCGAGCTCATTTAAAGCGAAGCGCGCGCGCCAGTATTAGCTTTAAAACACTGTCTCCAAGCGCAAGAAACAGATAATATGACGACTCGAAGGTCTTTAAATGCGTTTCGCGTTAAAAGCACGTCCCATCCAGTCAGACGAATGAAACAATGACTCGCGCAAAGCTACGGTTGTTTATTCAGCTCTCTCCAGTTCTCTCCGAACGCGAGCAGATCCACGGAAGATGAAGGTGTGCTGGAGGGATGCTGGATGGTTGTGGTGTCAGTGCGCTCGTTCAGGTCGCAGGAACAATGTGCACGATGAGGTGGGATTGGTAGGCGAAACACAGAAGCATGAGCTAAAGCGTGATACATGTCTCCTCCCCCAGGTCCTGCCTCACTCCAAGCGCGTGCGGCACGCTAATGCATTATATCACTCATTTCATCGATGCATTTTGACACGGGATGCTGCTAAAGATACCATGCAGTTGTAAATCGATTCAGTATAATTCAATGATGACATCTGTGATGCAACTGCATCAATGACCACCTCTTATGTCTCATGGCAGGGGTCACATGCATGTGGAACATTAGTAAAAAAATTTTTTTATTTGCATTATGAAAACGACATAAAATAAAATAAATAAATCCAAACAACACTGGACTTCAGATATATAATGACAAGTCCAGTGTTGCTTGGATGCCAATGTTTCTTAAAATATATTTTGTGTTCTGGAGAATAAAGTCATGAGAATGAGTAAATTATGACAAATTTTTAATTTGAGGTGAATTACCCCTTTAGGAATAACAAATCAAGTAAGTTTCAGTTGAATTCAGTTATGCTACTTCTGTATTAGTGTACATGTGTATTTGAGAATATTATTTTTCATGAGCCACCAGCACAGACTGGTTGTTATATGGTAGAATATTAATCATCATTGAAGTTCAACAAGTATGACATGTTACCTGTGAGTGAAGCATGTTAATGAGAAGACCTGTGGTGAACTGCTGCAGGCTATGGGAGAAAGAAAATATTTATTATTCAGAAAATGAATGCTCTGCATCTGGAAAGAAAAAAATCATGTTAATGCTATAAACTTAAATTGTTTTAATAGACTGACATCCCTAAAAGGTATAAAAATCTGCCTTCCTGCGAATACCTCTCTTGGTCATACCACTGTATTTATATGGTACTCTTCATAGAATACCATGGTACACTTTGGTGGATTTTGGATTAAGCAGGTTTGTTGGGGAAAAGAAATTGAAATTTCTTTTTTTAAATGTCGGTCTCAGAAAACACAATTTTCAAGCTCAGGCTAGTTTAACCTAATAATCCTGACCCAATATCTCACATGTTGTCTAGGTTGTCCACACGGTTACGTGACATTTTTTACAATGTAATGTTTAACAGGATGAACCTTAACAGCTAACAAAGCACATTACTAGCTAGGTAAGAACAACACCCAGAAGTTTAACATTCAGGAAGAATTTTAATACATATACAGTATATTTAAAAATATATATTTTCATGTATAATTTGACAACTGGATGGACATGTAATGTTTTATGCTATTAAAGTTTATTATTAAATAAAAGTAAAATGTATGACTATTAGGAAATTATGTATGTTTTTTGATTTAGGGCATATGTTTAAAGGAATAGTTTTCCCGAAAATGAAACTTTGCTGAAAATTCACCCTCTGGCCATCCAAGATGTAGATAAGTTTGTTTCTTCATCAAAACAGATTTTACATCTTGGATTTGTTTCACTGGAGAAAACATTATTATGGATTATGGACTCTATTTTGAGCAGAAGTGATGGGCTAAGTTGCTTTTCACTAAATAACTGGAGTTGTGTGGATTGCTTGTGGATTATTGTGATGTTTTTATCAGCTGTTTGGACTCTCATTCTGACGGCACCCATTCACTGCAGAGGATCCATTGGTGAGCAGGTGATGTAATGATACATTTCTCCAAATCTCTTCTGATGAAGAAACAAACTCATCCACATCTTGAATGCCCTGAGGGTGAGAAATTTTCTGCAAATTTTAATTTTTGGGTGAACTATTCCTTTAAGTTTTCAAGATACAAATAGCACCAATGTAACAGGGTGGAATGGAGTTTGAGACACAAACTAATTTAATGGTTTTACACACATGTATCACAATGAACTGTATTTTATGTCAAAAAGAATAAGTAAATGTATATACTAATACTTAAAATGATCAATTTACAAATATATGTAACCTTTATTTCAAAGTGAAGTTGAGAAAACAAAGTTGACATTGGGGACATGAAAATGTGTCTGTCAATTGCTTTTTAGCTACTATCATCATTAATTTGTGTTGATGGGGTACATCTATGCATGGAAAACCATGTGACATTAAAACTGATTAACATTTTATGTAAAATATGCAGTTTTGTTTCATGAGGGCGTAAAATCAACCAAACTGAATGACCCAAATGCATCAACAAACGTCAAAAAAAAAAAAAAAGTAAACACACTTTTCAGTCAAAGATATTCCATCTGCAGATAAAAGCAACCGCTGACATTAGCACTGGCACTAAAAAGTTTTCCTGCTCCATGTTGAACATGTTAAAGTTATAAGAGAAAAGCGAGGAGACACCGCAATTGGACACCATGGAGCCAAACTCTGCAGGGACCCAGATAGGGCTGCACTTTGATGAGGTGGGGATGATCAGAGAGAGGCGTCTACATGATGCTCTATAGCACCGAGAGGTCACTGAAGCACAAAGCTATAATGATCTATATGATTACCTGTGTCAGTTTTTGATCTGGGCTTTTCCGCCATATTAGCCACCTCTGCAGGGACGGCAGAACAGATGGTTTGTGGAAATAGATTCTTTTGTTATTAACTCAACCCTCATTACCCAAGAGACTGGGGAGGATAGTAGTGAAAGAAAAAAAAGATCATGAAACAGCAAAAAAAAAAAACATAATTGAAAATACACTGTCAAGTTATCAGTTCTCCTTTATCATGTCCTTTTTTACTCGTTGACCTTCAGCTATTGTGTATGCAGCTTCAATCTGAAACAAACCATCTTAAAGGGGCAAAAGCATCCAGGGACTTTTACTGTGATGAATGCTACACCATTGTGTTGGGCTCAGGGCTTTATGTGGTGTATTTCATCTCAAGGGAAAGGTAATTCCTCCTGTATCTAACATCACAGGCCCGTTTCATTACGTATACCGCAAGTGTGAAACATGAGGACAATGTCTGAAGTACTAATATGTGAACTATATAATGACCTGTATGGGTTTTTAAAAAGCTTATGTTTTATGTTCACACATAATTTATACTTTAAATAGCCTCACAAGTCATTATTTATCTGAAAAAGAAAGAGTGCTTGTGAGTCTTCCTGCAGGTTTTTTCTTTATTAGGGCAAGTGTGTTCTTTACAACGCACTTAAAAACTTGCTTTTAAAGCTTTAGCAATCATAATAAGAAGTGATATATGTTTAACTGGTAAAACTGTAAGCAAATAATGCCAACTTTTATCCTTTGCTGTGCTCAAAGCTTTTATGTGGCTTTGAAAATGTCTTAGAACTTGATCAAAATAGAACTGAATATTAGTATTATTTATGAAGGATCATTTGACACTGAAGAAAATTCAGCTTTGCCATTAGGAATAAATTACATTTTAAAATATATTAAAATAGAAAACAGTTATTTTAAATTGTAATAATATTTCACAATATTATTGTTTCTAATATACAGTTTTGATCAAATAAATGCAGTCTTGGTGAGCATTAGAGACCTCTTTTAAAAACATTTAAAAAATCATACCGACCCTAAACGTTTGAACAGTAGAGTGCATATTATATATATAATTTATACAGTAATTATATTTTTCCCCATACCTTAAAAAGATTTTTTCAAATATTTAGAGATCAGGATCTTCATATTTAAGACTTAGACTCTCCCCTCCAGCCAAGAGTCCTTAGATGAACGTTAGTTAAGATGAAATTATTGGATGAATGGAAACAAAAAACGGCCTGAAAACTCAAACAGAAACATGCAATTAACACACATTTAGACAAATTTAATATAAATGGAAAATGAGGTTATACATCACAGCTTCTGTATTAGACAGATTCAGTGCTACCTGATTATGTATTAAGGGATACATAAAGTCACTCTGTCTTTTGTTTATTGGACTCTTCACAGAAAACTGTATCCTAACAGTAAATAAAAATGACTACTTTTTCTATATTGCAAGCCCAATAAACAATAGCCTAGTTTTTCAACCTGATGATTTACTACATGCTCTGGCTATAGAAAAACGTATAAAGGGGAAATATAAAGATATGAGGGTCATTTATTGAATAGGTTGAGAGTTATCATTTTGCTTGGAGTGATCTACCTTTTTGACATGAAACAGACAGTTATGTAAGTAGCTATCAGTGTCTTTGCTCCAATGTACCATTGAGCTTTTGTGTGAGACAGAAATGAGAGAATTTATCATTTTTGCAATGTTCCTTTAAATTCCTGTAGTAAGAAATATCCGAATATATATAGTGCAATAGTGCTATTTTAAAATGAAAAAAAAAGGGGATATCTAGGCACAAAAGGAATTTGGTTTGAGAAAAAAAGTATTTTATATACACACAATGACCTGAACTGGGAAAACAAATCCTGCCTCCCAGTAAGTTGGTCTAACCCTGCACTTACTGTGCCTTTTACAATTCAGAGAGACACAATGTTCATTCAACAACACAGCAAGATGCAGAGGCTCTTCAAATCTCTTCATCACAGTGAAATGTGGCCCCCATCTTCATGTCCATCTCAATCACTCCTAAATAGCCCATCACAATGACTGTACATGCCTAAATGCTGGAAATGAGTCTATTATAGTCTCTGCCTTCAAGGGTTCCTTTGAATGATGCATAACCGCTTCTTCCTTCTGTGGCCAGAGATGTATTAGGAATGAATAAGCAAGAGGGAGTTTGAAAGAGAGAGAGAGAGAGAGAGAGAGAGAGGG